GGGGGGCCTCAAAGGATTGGGCCGGGGGATTTCGGTGGGGGACATAGGGTTCACCGAACAGGGAATATGCCGGGGGTCTCAATTAGGCCCCAACGGCCAACCAAATTCAGCTTGCGACATACCGCTTTCGACGGTGGACGGGCGAGGTTTCCATTGTGGACTCAACATTGCAGCATCCCAACGGCATCACATTCTCGCGCGATGGGAAGACGCTCTTCGTCACAGACTCTGGGCTGGAAACTTCTGGCTTGCCAGGCACAGACAACCAGGGTCCGGGGAACTTTTACAATTACCCTATCCGCATCGAGTTCACATCCACCAATGCCCGTAACTTGTATGCGTGGGATATTGCGCGTCCAGATGGTCCGAGCGGCGTGCCTAGAATTACTGGGAAGCGCAACATATTCCAGAGTCTCGAGGGTAGTCCGGACGGCATCAAGATTGCGGCCAATGGGTATCTAGTGGTGGCATCTGGGCTGTCGCTTGGGGTTGATATCTTGACTGCAGATGGCTCGGTAATCGCAAGAATCCAGACGAACCATCCGGTTGAAAATATTGCTTTTGCAGGCGATGATCTGAAGACCTTATACTTGGTCGGTATTGGTGGTGTCTCCAAGGTTGAATGGAATCTGGCGGGGCCTGACCCAAAGAACTACTACATTTGAGACTTGCTATGATCAGATACCAATCTCAAATATAGTGTTTACACTTTAGAAAGTAGCATATTATCGGAATCTTCTATTGACCTGCCCTTGATGTGTTGTGAACCCGCGAAGTGCTATTTCACTTGCATTGCCTGCTGTAGGTTGAGGAGTATATTCGACCAAAGGTTAGCTTGTAGACACTGGGTCGACGAAAGACAGATCTGCGCAATTAAATTCATCAACACTCTGGTTCGCGGAGGTAAAATAGTCGTCAGCATTCAATGTACCTAAAATCAACCCATTTCGCCCCTCGGTTGTAGTGCAGACCCAATAATCTCTCTAGAGAGGATACACGAGCTTGACACCGCTAACCCTCTCCTTTCTTAAATCATCCAAACCACCAAGCACTCCCTCTAGGCCCCCTTCTCGAACCTCCTGCGGATGCGGTCGAATCTTACCTTGAGCAAGTAGCTCACACGTAAGTCTCCAGAACTTCTCTTGAAAGGCCAAATGATCCGGGTTCGCAGACCACTTCCTAGTGCCTTTGGAAAAATCCTCCCCAAACCCAGTGTACGCCAGAGTGGCAGTGTTGGACACGTCGTCGCGAGGAAACTTATTTATCACAAGCAAAGAACTATATTTGCCGCCCTTGGACGAGATTGCTTCAGCTGCAATGGAAGCGGTCGACTCGTACGATATGGTATCGAAAACATGTTGTAGGTTGTCGTTTGTAACCTTGCGAATGTCGGCTCCAACTGTAGGCGACTTGTAATCGAAGACGTGATCAGCGCCATAGCCCTTGAGAAGGTCGAAGTTTTGTGGTGAGCTAGTAGCCACAACGGTCAGACCAGAGAGCTTCGCAAATTGGATCGCCAGCGTCCCAGTGGCCGTGGCACCGCCGTAAATGAGAATGGGAAACGGTGTTGTCGTGGGAGTCGTCGGCCATGGAAGTCCAAGCGACTGGTATAAACCTTGGCCAACGGTAGTAATGCCACATCCCAGAGTCGAAGCCGCCTCGAAAGAAAGATCGTCCGGTATCTTGGTCAAGAGCTGCGACTTTGCGACAACGTATTCCGCAAAGGCACCATCTTCATGGTTGTCTTGGTTGCTGCCATGTATGAACCCCGCTACTCGGTCGCCGATTTGAAGACCGTTCTTCACATCTTCACCCACCGCCTCCACAGTCCCAGAAAAATCACAGCCGTTGATGGCGCCCTCGCTAGCGAGGAAATCAATATGCTTCCAATCAGTGGGATTGAGCGCAACGGCCGCAGTCTTGACCTTGACGTATTGGGGTCTCAGGGCAGGGATTGGTGCATTTGTAACAAGTTTGGCTACATTGGGGGCCTGGATTTGAATAGCACGCTGGAAAGACATTATGAATGAAGTCTTTGGTGAGCGTCTTTATGCGTATGTACGAGGATATGACAAACTATCAATCAGACTGAGCTCTGGAAGTGAATAGAGAGTCGGAGCTCTTGACTTGATAGTGCGTATAAGGTAAGACGGGGTAAAACGCAAATAAACGTGAAATTTGAAGAATCTTGGGTCTTCTCTTTCATAGCAAAACAAAACGCGGCATATCAAGACCCGAAGTGAACTACGTGAATGAAGAAGGCAATTTGTAAGCCTTGACCGGTTTCGGTTATTGCAGAGCTGCAGCAAACAAACTGGCGCTAGCACGTCATCTCGTGTGTAACCTCCATTTCAGCACCAATGTCACAAAAAAAAAAGCGGTCAAAAGGTGATCTATTCATGTTTGTTGTTCATGCATGACTGGATGCCAAGCGGTGATACTGCGGACATGGGTTCAGGCTGCCGAACCTCGAGATGGTTGCACGAGGCGTAGCAAACGCCAGTCAGCAGCCAGATGAGGCACCATTCCTTGCTGATTATCGCCTTGGGGGTTGCATGTTGCGGAAATAACAATGCACAGACCCTTGATTACAAATGTCCACTCTTTGTGCTTTCCCGGTGCCATACTCTACCATCGAGGTGTTGAATATCGTACTACCATACCGTACCTACTCTGCCAGACTGCTGTATTTACATGCTCCACTGGGTAATCATTTACCATTCTGCCATCGGTCCTACAACGTTCTCCATCTCAGACAAGATTGCGATAGCCACATGTATTCCGCTGGGAATGACGTTCGCTTGTCGCAGGAAGCCGTCACAATGAGTGACCAGAGAAGCCACGATACTACTGCGGACCAGTCGGCACGTGACGCCTCTTCTCTCGACACTCGCAAGATCCATGGTTTTCCGGTACGCCGCTTTTTTCGGAAATCATCACTTCTCAGCTCTCAGTCCAAACACTGACATGTCATCAGTGGTTTCTGCTGGTCATAAGCGTTCTCTCTAGCATCTTCCTGTACGCCCTTGACAACACCATCGTCGCTGATATCATTCCAGCCATTGCCAATGACTTCTCTTCCATCAATGATCTGGGATGGCTATCTGTTGGGTACAAGCCAGCTCCACTCCTACCTTGTGCGACGATTGACGCTAATCCATCATCCTAGGTTCGTCATTGGCGGCGTTGCTGTCATCATGCCTCTCGGAAAATTATATGGGATTCTTAACACAAAATGGTTGTACATTACGTCTGTTGTTCTCTTCATGGCGGCTTCTGCAGTCTGTGGAGCAGCTCCCGATATGAACGCAGAAATCGTTGGGCGAGTCTTTGCAGGCGCTGGAGGCATTGGCATGTACATTGGTACTATGATCCTACTTTCTATCAACACCAGTGACCAGGAGCGGCCTGCTTATTTGAGTCTGGTGTTAGTTCTTTCAATCTCCTGATAAAGATATAGCTAATCTTCACAGTGGCCTTGTATGGGGTATCGGCACTGTTCTCGGACCTGTCATTGGCGGATCCTTTGAAAAGGTCGATTGGCGGTGGGCGTTCTATCTGAACCTTGTAATCGGCGCCCTTCTATTCCCAGTTTGGTTCTTTCTACTACCTTCTTTCCATCCAGCAAAGCATCTCAGTCTCAACAAACGGCTGAGTCAATTCGACTTCGTGGGTGCCATCTTATCCATTGGGGCCTTCGTAACGACCATAATGCCCATCAACTTTGGCGGAACGACTTACGAATGGAATAGTGGGACTATCATTGCTTTGTTTGTAGTAAGCGGTGTTCTGTGGATTGCTTTTGCTGTACAGCAATCACTCACGCTCTTCACAACGCCGGCTGATCGCATGTTCCCCGTTCAATTCCTCAAGAACAAGGAAGCAATGTTGCTTTTCATCTGCGCTGCTGCTATCAACAGTGCAGTCTTCGTACCCATCTACTTTATCCCCATTTACTTCCAGTTCTCTCGTGGGGACGGTGCGCTGGACTCTGCAATTCGCCTGCTTCCTCTCATCTTCTTACTCTGTGCTACAATTCTTGTCAATGGCAAGTTGATGTCCCGTTTCGGATACTATATGCCTTGGTATCTCGTTGGCGGAGTCTTTTGTCTCATAGCCAATGTGTTTCTCTGTGAGTTACACCCGGTCGCCGCGGTGCTTGTTCGATACACTGACTATAAGACAGCTTTGCTCGATGCTACAACGTCGCAATCCTACATCTATGGATTCGAGGCGCTGCTTGGCTTGGGAGCCGGTGGCTCTGTTCAAGCGGGTTACGCCGTCATTCAGACCGTCGTTCCGGCAACTGACCTAGGGTACGCTGTCAGCTTCATCATGATCGGTAAGGAGGACTTGCCTGCTAGTAATGTTTGATGCTCACTCTCAACGTAGCCCAGATTGGCGGCATCGCTCTAGGCCTTGCTTGCGCCAGCGCCGTGTTCATCAATGGCGCAACCAACAGTCTCAGAGTCTTGCTGCCATTGCTGTCGGATTCTGAGCTTCAGTCGGCGATATCGGGTACAGGAGGTCGATTCTTGGAGACCCTAGACGACAATACTAGAGTCCAAGTCATTGATGCCGTTGTTAATAATTTGGCCAAGGCGTAAGTTTTGTCCGCGGAGGTTCTGAACTTTCGTTAAATCGTATAGGTTCATTGTCGCCTACGCCGGAGCCGCTGTTTCACTTGTTGCTTCCCTCGGCTTCTCGGTAAGCAGAAGAACGCCCCTTGAACTTACAGATACTAATCCAAGCTTCAGAGGAAGCGCGTATTTCTGCCAACTGCTGCAGCGGCTTAGTTTGAAGCCTGCGCGCCAATCTTCTCGATCGCTCAACAGCAACATATGAAGTCTAAAATGGAGGTGGATTTCCCGTTCAAGAATCCGTAAGGGGGTTCATTGTGAAAGAATAACAGTCTCAAAGTTCGATTACTGCTCTGCTAGCTAAGGATTGGAAAGTGTAGGTGACCATGCGTCAGAGGGTATCTTAGTTATTTAGACTTTCCGTATGTATCTTTTGTTTTCTCACAAATAGTGGCCATCACACAGTTTCTTGACTTGCCACACCAATTCTTCACAAGATATGGTTAATATCTGCTCGAGAATGTGGAACATACAATACTCAGCATGTCCAAGTTCAAGCGCACATAAATAGTAGCCAATGTCAAGCTAGTACATCTGTCCGACATTGTTTGCTGACACGCTATCGTAAACACAATTTCCTTCCTGAGACAGCATTTTGGTAGCGCCACTTCATGGATCATTAATCGACCCTATTCAACTTTCGACCCTTTGCTAAAGCAAAGAGATATCCTTTGACCCGATTGCATTATATTCAGAGGATATAATCTATCCCCCGCCAATGATTTTCCTCAGTTTCGTTAAATACCCATATCGATTATTCGTCTGTACCCTCGACCGAACTGCCCTCTCTCATATCAGCCATCTTGACAGTTCTTACTCTCTTTTCCTTCCTCGGCCGCACCTTTTAGCTACAATTAGCAATCCTAATCTTCCACTATACAAACGAACGAAGCGCTCGGGTTAGAGCCAGTCTGTTCATTTCTTCGGCCTACTTCGAGACTCCATGTCCAGATATCCTTCGCAAAGTAAGAAACAAATATCAACGAGACAAATTTCTCAGACCCCGGAGAAGTACGCAGGAGCTAACGTGATCCACCACCGAGCGCCCACCCCCACCGAGCGCCCACTAACACTAAAATCTACCACCCACTAAATATAGATATTGCGCCACCTATAATAGCTATTATTATAAGATTTTTTAAAGTTATAATTATTAGATCTATTAGAGTAGATTAAATACTTAAGATTATATAAGTAGCTTTTTAGGGGGTCTAATTAGGCACCTATACTATAATATTACCTCTACTACTATATCCTCTTCTACTAGCTCCTTATTAACTATCTTAGCTAGTATAATAGTAGGAGGCTTAAGGATTTATCTCTTACCTATTTATAATATTTAAATATTATATTAGAGTTACTTTTTTAGTTACTTAGTAGTTTTCTACTTATTATATATAGTAGCTTTTTAGGTAGCTTTCTTTTTACTTCTTCTTAGTAATAACTTAATTTAAGTATTACTCCTTTATAAGTTAAGCTTTAGTAAGCTTTTATTACTTATAAAGCTTAATTACCCTACTTTTTTAGTATTATAGCTTCTATTCTTTAAGGTTCTTTTACTTCTAAAGCTTAAATACTTGCTCTACCTTTAATAGTAAAATAAATTAGGTACTACTACTATAATTATTATTAGGGGGTAATAATAGAGGTTTACTACGCTTCCTACGCTTCTTTATATTAGCTAGGGCAGCCCTTAGGTGTTTATTTTTATAGTTAAGTAGAGTATTTTTTATTAATATAGTATAGATTATCTAGCTAAGCTTCTTTAACTATTTATTATAGATATTAATTATAGTATTATAGAGTAACTACTCTATCTTTTTCTAATTACTTACACTTAATATTAAGGTTATACTATTACTTAAAGAAGGCTAGTTACTATTATTTATAGGTGCTTTAAACCTTAAAAGAATAATATTAGGGTTAAGTAGTAAGATACCTATTACTTTAAAAGCTATTAATATTAGCTTTTTCTTAAAAGTATTACTTTATATAGTATTAAATAACTAGTAAAAAACTTTTTTAGTAATATTTATAAGCCCTTAGGAGCTATCTAGAAAACTAGATAGTTAAGCTTTATATATAGCTATAAAGGGACTAAATACTATAATATTAAGTAGTAAAAGGGTATAAGTGCTATAAGGGGGATATATTATATATAGGATCTTATATTTATTATAATAGTTAATAAACTCTATTATTATATAAGATCTATAGCTATTAAGGATAAGAAGCTAGTATAAAGTATAAGCTTTAGCTTTTATTTTATAATTAAACACCTCCTTAACCTATAATATCCCTAAGGTATAGCTTATCTACCTACTTAGTACTCTTATATAGAAAGCTTAGTATTATAATAGGTTAAAATCTTATAACTAGGTATCCTATAAAGCTCTAGATTAAGACTAATAAATAAGGGTAGAGGTAAAAGTAGTACTATTAGCGTACATATAAGCCATAGTAGATAGTACTTTCCAACAACCTCCACCATACCCTCAAACTTGCTAAATGGCGCAACGCCAATCCATGGTCGACAATCACCTCGTCAACAGCACCACAAGCCCGCCGGCTCAGCTCCTTCATTCTTATGGTCGACTGTGGAGAGCAATGTTTGATGGCAGCATGGTTTAAGCACCTAAGGGAAGGCGTAGGGAGGTAGGAGAACCCCAGTGGATTGCTATAGAAGTATTTGATACATTATCCCAATTCATGCACAAACAAGGCTACCGTGTTTTCAATACCAGTCATGACTTGTGGAATCGAAGAATGAAATTGGGCCCAAACAGTTCACAGGGATGCGAAAAGTCGAAGACTGACTGGTCCCATAGTTGGCGTAATATCTATCACCAGACGAGCAGCGTGGCCTAACCCTGAATATGAACCATCACTTAAAATATCCCAAAACTTCCTGCTTGTTAACCGGTTTTATCGGCGCTCTTGTTTTGCCGTGTGCACTTCGTCTATTGCACGCGACCCTAAAGCATTGCTCTCATTCGCTTGCAGCGTCAAGTTTCGTACTTTGGGGACCAGGAAGGATTGAATGGGCTCATGAAGCACGTTGGCGACGAGGAAGTCAATTGCCAGGTCCTGCGGATGCTTTGGGAAGAGCGGACCGAAGACTCCATCCCGTACGAGCCATTTTCGAATTGGTCAGACATTAACGACCCGGTGTTCAAAGATCTCATCCAGGGGATGACGAATCTGGACCCTACGAAGCGGATCACGGCGCATCAGGCGTTGGAACATCCCTGGTTTGCAGGCTTCGAGATTAATTAGATATTGGAAACTTATGATCTTTACCGACCCCTCTCGCAGTCTATCTGGGCTTTTCTTCCATTGCACTACCAGGAGGCTTCTTCTTGATGGCCAGACTCATCACACAATCGACTTTCCCGACACAGGGAAAGACCATTGTCACAGCGCTGTCCAGGGCACCTTTCCGTTTTCTACAACATTAATTCAAGAAGCCGATTTGTTAATGTGTTCTTCGCCTCCTTTTCGCATGACTTTATGTGGTACTTTGTTGACAGTGTTGACCGGCACGGGGTTGCAGATGTGAACGATGAGCTTAGAATGAATGGGTAGGCGAGGACGTTTCCATTTAAAGGAGAATGCAAAGATAAACCCTCCAGCCAGCTCGCCGTCGGCCACCCTCAAATTTCTTGCTCAACTGCGTAGCGCCCAAGCTAAAGTCCTACACTTATCTCAAAATTTACCAACGCCCGCAGCAACCTCTGCAGGCAAATCAGTCCATACAGCAACATCCACCCTGAGTTCGGCGGCCCCACTCCTTTCTGGTCGATTGTGGATAGTGAGGGTACCGCCGCCTGCGTCACAAACACTGGATAACCGTCACTCCTTGTGCAGCTACGCTGGATTCGCAGTTGGCGTGTGATACCTGACGCAAGAGATACGGCTGAGCCTGATGTGAATGGTGAGTGCAAGTCGTCACTTCCTCTTTTTCTTCTTGGAGTTGCTGGACCCAGCGTTGATCGTGGTGTCAGGGGTGATTGGCTGGACGCTTGGTTGACTATTCGGTATTATTCCTTCCTCGGCGAAGCTGTAATCTCCAAGTTGTTGGGACAGTTCTGAGCGTGAAGAGGCCAGATCCTGCTCGGAGACATCAAAGTTCAAGTCAGCCGGTAACATGTCGATGACGGAGCATATTCTTTCAAAGTGCTTAGGAAGCCACAAGTCGTAAACATTTTTAACGAACTTGTAGGCTTTCCACCTGTGATCCCCTTCCCCAGATGGCGCGAAAATAAACTTTGAGATCAAATGCCGGTAAAACTTCACATCTTTTCCATCAATAACGGCGTAGTGGCCCCAGATTCTCACAGCCTCGTCGTTATGAGATATTGAAAAGCCATTAATCTCCCGATGCAGTTCTTTCTCTTGGCCAACCACCTGGAAAAGTGAGTGAAGACCGCGCAAGATGACAGACTGAGCGTAAGCATTCTGTCGATCAGCTACATCAAGTTCACCGTCTCTGCATTTCACCTCGCTGGTGAGAAATGGAAAATACATCTGATAAGTAGCTGCAAAGAAGGAGGAATCAGCAAGGAGGTCGCCGAGAAAAGGTTGAAGCTTTTGCAGCTGTTCGGGATTAAAAGCATCTCTATCGAATCCAAGTCCAAAATCTGGCTGCGGTCGAGGTGCGGAACGAGAACCAGAACCAGAACCAGGAGGATTGATGAAAGGGATAGAATTGGTCCAGCATGCGTTGGTAGTCTCTCGGAGAATGACGAGATGTTTGGCTCCCTTGTTAGCCAGTATCTCAGCTGACGGAACAATGAGCTGCGAAATATCGCGAACCACTTTTGTCTCGTTCTCACCCTTGATCCTTTTACACGTCTTCTTGAACAGTTCATCATCGGAGAAAAGCGTATGTTGAGGCACTGGCTGTGGTTCTTTCAGGAGCTGCTGGCAAAGTTTTTCGCTTTCCGCTGTAATGCCGAGTTCGTGATCATCCATAAAGCTGCCGCACTCCTTCAGTTGACGCTGAAACAGTGGATGCCTATACGGAGCACACTTCTGATCCCGCGACATGCTGCTCGTAATCTGTGTCGGAGTTATTTCCGAGGCTAAGGAGGCATTTGAGCGTTTACGGCTCAGCGATCGTTTTCTTGCACGCGCATGATCGACAAGCTCTCGGAAACGATCCATTGTTGCCTCTTGCTCTTCTGTCGGCCAGACTCCGGTCTCCCTCCAGTAGTCAACCCGAGCCTCCCTAGTTGTCTTCTGCCTGAGTGGTTCGTTAACTGATGGCCGTACTCGTTTTAGAAACGGCTCGAGCGAAGGGCGGGAGAGTGAAACTTCGTCTTCTCGAGGTCGCTTTTGCTTCTCAGCCTGCGCGCGAGGCTTTGTCCGGGGGGAATCTTGAGTTCGTAGACGCTTCTTTTTGGGTTGTTCAATTGATGGGTTCTCGAGGTCTCGAATGCGCTTTCTTGACTTGACGGCTTTTGGTTGGACTCGTTGAGGACTCGAAAGATTCTTCGCCATGTTAGATCATTGGCATTGACGAAAGATAGCACACACATGCTTCTTGCTTTATTGAGTATTCAGTATCCGTCCGAGATTTGGAGCCTTCCTCAACCGCCGCTCGTGTGCGATCGCTGCGTCGCGTGGCTTTGCTGATAGCCTGCACTGCGAAAGTCAGAATGATCATGCAGTATGACAAGAGTTGCGATGGCATACCTTTCTTCGTCTGAGGTGGCATACGCCGTCTCTTCTGAGCGGCTAGAGGTTCTGAACAACTGGCCATGCTGACTAGAATTGCACGATCGAAGCGCTTATATGTTGCCGCTAAGTTTGAAGTAGAGGGTTGGCTAATAGGAGTTAGAACAAGCATCCGCAGGAAGCTAAAGGAAAACGCCAAGCAAGGGAAACGCGCTAGTCCGGATACGTTGCCGCCACCGCCTGCCCCTCTGACTACCACTCCTGGCTCTGCATCGACATAATTATGGTCATTTCACCAAAGTGAATTTCTCGACCTAGCAAATCTGATTTTGGTCACTATTATTTTCTTCGCAATACTACTTGAAGAAAGTTCTTCTTTATCTTTAGCTACGTCGCCACAGATGGTCTCGCACAATATGAGATGGCTCTTAGACAAGCGTTGTCCCACTCATGAAATTGCCTTCACACATGCGGAATGATTTCGGGTGACTTCATCATATTATTATAGTGTAATCCTTGCTATATCGACAAGCCGCAGTTAACAAGCTAACTGTCTAGATTGTCACCAATCTCTCTCCTACCCGCCACGACATCAAAGATTCTTCCCCGTCAACATCAACATCATCAAGCATTGTAAAGTCCTTGAATCTCGGTGCAGTTACGCTTTAGCTTACTTCTATTAGCAAGAAAAATGCTTCAACTTCTCTCTAGTGAGATCCAGCTTCAAGAAAAATCACTCAGCCGCGCTGCGGTTGTCTCTACCTGCGTCACGAACCCGACCAATTTGCATGAACTTTCGTATCAGCGATCGTACGCCGATTTTTACGTGTCCTCACTGATCACCTTGCGTCGAACGTCAACTAACGTTGTGGCCGACAAAAACACCCTTCGTATTCCGCGTCTGCCTGACCGGATGAGACATAACCTAACCCAGTCTGAACTCTATTGTGGACCATATGCGCTGATTTTCCCTACATGGCCAATTGTAAGCTGAGTCTTCTTTGGAGCCTGCTCACATGAATGGCCGCCACGTAGCTAGCCCATGTCATAGCCTCCATCATGAAGCCTAGGCGAAAAAGCCCTCGCGGACTTACCGAAAGCTCTCATCAAGCAGCCTCGAGCTATCCTGATTCTCGACTAGCAACGTGGCGAGAATTCATGCGAGGAGCTTCGGAGGCAGACTCACGATTGGGCGCAGCCCGACTTCAAATCTCCCTAGTCCATACGATATGCTCAAGCATGAACTCCTGGCGCGAGGATGCCCCCGCAGATTTGTTGATGGGACGTGTCAGTACGCAGTCTCGAGCTCTTATGATCCAAGCAAAGATCGTGAAAAACCTCATTGAGATCGATACTAAATTCTTGGCCATGTCTCTGGATCGGTAGGTTTTTTGAGCTGGCATCTTTGCACAATCGAACCGCTTACATCTCCAGATTTGGAGCAATCTTTTACGCAAAGGACATGCCAAACTGCGCTCCTGCAGAGATTAGAGGAGAGGTTTCGCTGGCTGTTAGAGAGGATGTACGACGCCGGTTCGTCATTGGCCCAACTGTCGAGAGGGAGTTCTGGGAGGATGAGAGGGCACAAATGTCTCTCGATCGCGACCCTTGTGAGTATAAATCTACTACCATCAATTTTTTAAACCCGGACGAAGGGACTTCAGCAGCTGCATACGTCGAGGCCATAGCTCATCGCGAGATCCAATGGATTGAGCGGTATGCGAAAGCTAAAGTACCTCCGGTTCCTCTGTCGACATCTGACGCCCAGAAGTCCCCAGAGATGCACATCGACCTGTTGCAAAAATACCTCAGCGTGGTAGGCAAACTCCTCCCAGCCGAAGAAGATTTACTTCTGCCGACGCTATGGCACCGCGACCTCCACAGAGGCAATGTGTTTGTCCTGGAAGGTCAAGTTTCCAGCATCATCGATTGGCAGTGCGTCTGGGTCGGCCCCAGGATCCTTCGCGCCCGCACGCCCCAGCTTGTTGAGTACAACGGAGAAATTCAGATGAAGTTGCCAGAAAACTTCAAGCAGCTGGACCAAAAAGAGAAGGATCGCGTGCGGGAAGCGGTCCGCCGATCCATACTATTATATATTTACGAAACTTCTACGGCCAAGCAAAATCCGTCTTTATACAAGGTCATGCGCTATCCCAATGGCAAGACGTTAGAGCAGCTCGTCGAATTTCCCAACAACTCTTGGGAGGGAGATATTTTGCCATTTCGGGAGGTTCTCATACGAATCCAAAGGTTTGCCTCGGTTGCATAGGGATTGGCAACTTTCTGACAGAGATCTAGAGATTGGCATCTCATTCACGAGACATCAAGCTGTCCGTACCACTTTTCCAGCGAAGACATCGCTCAGCACCTAAGAGATGGCGAAGAATTCAACGAAAACGCCGACTTTTGGGATAATCTCGAAGGCCGCGTTCATCGAAGCGGATACACGTCGAATGAAGATTTTCAGGACGCCGTGGCCTACTTCTCGCAGCTACGAAGGGTTGGATTGGAGACGCTGGTCGGCAAGGAACGCGAGAGTTTTGGGCGGCAAACGAGATGGATGCTTGATCATCAGGAAGGCGATAGAGGAATTTAATTCCTATCATCGCGATTCTACAAGTTACCCTCCCTGCGAAGCAATTTAAGGTCGTACCAGTCTACGATGCTATTTAGGTTGTGTTGTTAGGTATGTTGTCTGCACGGGTTGTAGATGCTTATACTCTAGGCAAAACCATAGGCGACACTGTAGAAACCCTGAAACTAGGTATCCTTCAGCACGACGTCTATGATCTTGACCTCCGCTATCCTAATTTCGAAAGAAAACAGCTATGTCAATACCACACTTAGGAATTACACGGGATTGAATATTATTAGGTTCTCTCCCCTTCATAGTCCTTTAATCAATCAACATGCACATGCAATTCCAGTTGCCGGGCAGAAGACGCAGGCACAGGACAACAGTAGTTGCTGTCTTGGCGTTAGGGTTGTAAAATGCAGCTGTGAGTGACATGCTATCTTTTAATTCTGGTGATAGTGGATCGAATGGGTCCTCGTTCACAAGAGTGCTCGGTCGGGTGGAGAGGTAAGCCTAGCCACGTGATACCTGGGCTGTGCCTCCGCACGGACCATACCTATACCCTCGATCGACGACATGTCCTTTCCAAGAACCTAACAAGCAAATGTTTTGCTCACAATTATGTCCTTGAGTGGCATTCTACTCCGATACTTAAAGCACTTCAGCTGAAAGCTGTGATGGAAGACTCAGATCGAAAGCGACATTGCTGGCAATGTCGTCGAAGCTGTGTAGTCTGCGACTTTACACAACCAGGATGTCAGAGGTGTTCTGCAGCTGGCGTCTCATGCCCTGGATACAGCGATATTGAACCCAGAAAACTGAAGTGGCTCGCACCTGGAAAAGTTCTATCCCGAAATCACAAAGCGAACAAAGCTCACCTGGTTAGAAAATCAACCACGATCGCGACCGCTTCAGCGCAAGCTGTTGAGCCAAAGATATCAGATTGGAACATGCGATGTCTAACGACTGACCAGTCTGCTATTTATGCCTTGTTTCAGGCCGCAGAGTACTGCAAGTCTTATGTCCGACTGGATCCCTATTGACCAGCAACTGACTACCACCTCTCAGACAACGCATGCATCTTAGAAGATCTGACCCCAATACACGAACTTGGGAGACATCCTTACATACACCATGTCTCTCCTGAGCGCCTGAAGGAGGCCATATTAGTCCCGGAGTTTCTAAGATCTGGCCTTATCTGTATGACCCTGAACCACCGAATGAACAGACTTGGCATAAGGTCCAATCCGGGAGCAACCGATTTAGTTGAAAAATATTACATACACTGGGGCATCACGATTCGTTCACTTAGTGAGCAGTTCAACGTGGAAAACAAGCGCACGAGTGATGTTGTCATTGCGGGCATCCTGACCATCTTACTCGGTGATGTAAGTCTAGCCCTGTGAAGAAGGTGCGAACATTCACCGATTTGAATTGCGTGGTCTACAGATTCAGAACGGCGCTCAAGTCTCGTGGCTTCATCACCTTGATGGAATTCACAAGCTTGTCAGCTTGCGTGGCGGGTTCCGTGCATTGGCCCCATCACAACGCCTGGCCCCGTTGTTGAATTGTCTCTGGTTGTACGTAATCTCACTCACATGTCTGGTAGAAGTGACGACACTGGACACTGATTTGTTCAAATAGCATTGGAATTATCACAAATACGACATGTCCGGCGTCTTACCTCAACTTGTCAACAATTTCGCATTTCGAAGCCTCGGACTTTATGCAAGAACACTACAGCTTTGCATCAACACCAACGCAGATGTTTCCACCCCAGTTGTTAGCTGAAGTTTCCAAGATCAATTATCTTCGCCTACAAGCTAAGAGCAAGAAGGAATATAGGGATGAACATCTCTCCAAGGACGCTTACAACATACTGGAGAGTATTGAAGCATTCTCTCCGGAAGAGTCAGCACAATCCAAGTTCTCGTCAAAAGAAGATTGGATGCGCATTGGTACTGTGTACAGATCTGCAACGGCCCTTTACTGCATTCTCTCACTACAGAGCGTATCGGTGTTACCCGAAGATTCGGCGCTGAGGACAAGATGCGTTATCCATGGTCAGGTTCTGCTGCGTCACCTTCCAGAAAGTCTGTCATCTGCAAGAACTAAGAGGTTCATGCTCTGGCCACTGGTGCTGCTCGGTGTGGAGGCGGTTCACAGTGACATGGCGACTCGTGCCTTCGTCTCAAAGCAACTGCCAGAGCTGAGTCGTTCTGTCGGCACATCCATACCCCTAACAGCCCAGAGTGTGCTTGAGTCATTCTGGGCATCTGGTCTCAAGCTTTGGGATGCCTGTTTTGACAGGCCATATCCTTTCACGATGCAGATTGCCGTGGACGTTAGCCAAGTATCAACACCGTGACTGTGGAGCTTTGGGCCCTGTGAGGAGTGATCTAATTAAGCCTGGGTATAGCATTTAACATTGGAGTGTTTCTTAAAGATGAGACCACTCTGTCTATTGCCTGACAGCATCTCCAACGGCTTCTGCGCTCTTTGGCGACTTTGGCAGGGGTAGGCATAAAAGCTCAGTCCGTTTCATTGGGGGTTGTTCGCCGTACACTATGCATACATGCATAGATGTGGACTCTGGCCTGCTATATCATGCAGCAGCTAGCGAAGGAAGATGTTTTCAAAATCTCCCAAAGCGTACCAGAAGGGGTGGGAAAGTTCCCGTGAGGCGGGGGTGGCGCAGAGTGAGGGGTCGAGATTGCTTCTGATTGGCAGACGGTCCCATATGAAACATGCCCGTAGTAGGTACCGTACGCCAATGGGTTCAGGCTTTCACAACAACTTCTCCTTTAACTTACTATCACAGCTGGAGACAACAACACGCTCAACACGCAGCTAGCTCTACTTTGGAAATACCCTGTGACTACTCATTTGTATCACTCATTCCATGCCTCTGCTCGCCTAGCTTCCACCTCCCACCATTGGCTGCTGCTAGTAGACTAGTCATGTTTTGCCACTTTAGCGGCATCGATGCAGACAGCAAACAACTATGCGTCGCGACGGATGCCAGCCATGAATCGTATCTGCCAACTAGTTGCCACTGTTGGAGACACGGAGTGAATAGGAGGAGAGCAACGTGTAGCGACCGCCAGATGAGCTATGTACCTTGAAGATCATCACCGAGGGCGGCAGAACGCGTGAGGATATAATGCCAAGATTTTTCATATTACAGAACATGATGAGAGAAGCTTTTCATGCGATAAATACACAATCCGACAACAGCTCCTTGATCCCGACTTGCGAGCTGTCAAGAGTATCTTACTCAGTGCGAGGAATGGATTCTGTTATCAAGATCTCGATGAACAACATCTTTGTATTTCTCTGAAGATATGCAAAGGATCACTACGATAACGAACGTTCCCCATTTCCCTGCCCTGAAACAACTACCCGTAACTCCAGACCTCACCAATGAAGCTCAAGTTTCCAGGCTTGACCTCCAACGAAACCAATCACTCTGCCTTTCTTTGTGATAAAATCTCGGTTGCGAGGGCACGTAAACTATCGGCCTGCATGATCGCGCTCAAAGTCAGCTCCACAGCAGTTTCTCTTCGGATCCAATTGCGCAGCTCGACAGACACCAGAGAATCGAGATTGTACGATGTAAGAGGTGCGTCAGGGAGCACCTCTTCCCGCTCAATCATGGTCATTGCGGAGACTTTTGTTATCATTGCCTCGGTCAGGCCAATCAATGGGTCTTCAGCGGTAGTCCAGGAAGCGGAGTGTTGGTCGACTCCTCCGCTCGCAATCTTGACTCTCCTCCTGTCACTCATAAGACGGACCTTGGTGTGAACCGGGTGGAAATATTTCCAACCACCATTCTGAACCGGCTGACCGTCGATGTAGACCATGAAGGTCTGCGCTCTGCCGTTGTAGACGAATGGGGAAGATGGTCCGAGTAGGATGCCTCCGAAAATTGCTCGAATGTCGGCCATTGTGATTGCCACGCCGAGCGATTCCTTGAGAATCTCGCTCAGGTTGTTGTCCGCTACATAGCCTACATCCAGCACGACAGGCAGGGCAATGGAAACGGTATACTGGCCGCGGGAATTACGGTATTGAGAGAATGCATTGTAAAATCCCTACATTCCTGTTAGCCTTTCTCTTATAATTTTACTACCAGTAATATTGTATCACTTACGGCGGTACCAGCGTAGATGGCCTGGCCAAGATTTCCAGTGTCCCCGTTGAATGAAGAAAGAGCGACAAAGAAATCGAGATTATCTGGCATAAGCTCATGGAGGTTCCATGCGCCCTTTACCCTTGGGGTGGTGATGATCTCCCAATCTTCGAGAGTGGAGTTGACGAACAGTTTGTCCTAAGAGACTCAGTCAGCAACTCAACTCGATTTACTTCAATTTCAAATGACTTACACTCAAGAGGAGGGCGCTGTGTACAACACCACGAACTGGAGGGAGGTCTTTGATAGCCTCTACAACTTCGGCAAGCTCATCCCGATGACCGACGTTGCAAGAGAATATCTTGACGCAAACATCAGTATCCTTGTATCTGTTCAGTATCTTTTGAGCCTCGGGCCCAGATGCTCCGCTGCGGCCGAGAAGAACAATATAACGGGCTCCGTGATCAATCATCCAGTATGCTAGATCAAGCCCAATACCGCGTGTGCCACCAGCAACAAGATACGTCGCATCTGGCTTCAGAGTCACATTCAAGGGCCGCAGGGCTGTCTCCGCGACAACAGTGTCGTCCTTGCCTAGTGTGATCACCATCTTACCCATGTGTTCACCAGACTTCAACTTTCGAAGAGCGGAAGCAAATTGGGAAATGGGAGTTGTGGTCACCGGGCCGATGGGTTGAATATTGCCGCGCTGTAGCAATGTGACCACCTCGGTGAAGACGTCCTTGATATCGTCTCGTCGGAATTGGTAGAGGTCGCGCAAGTCGATGCCTGTATATGTTACATTTCTATTGAAAGGCTTCATGGGCAAATTGTTGTTCTGGAAGGCGTCCTTCTTGCCGATTTCGATGAAACGACCAAAGGGTGCGGTCAAAGCCCAAGTTTCAGTCATGAGCTCCCCACCCAGAGAGTTCACAATGACATCGATGCCCTTGTTGGCCGTTGCGCTCAAGATCTGGTCTCTGAATTCGGGCGTGCGGCTTGAGAAGATTCGATCTTTGGGGATCCCAAACTTTTCGTGTAGGAATTCTCTCTTCGCTTCATTCCCAGCAGTCACATAGACGTGAGCGCCCACGTTTTGGGCAAGCGCCACGCATGCCTGACCTACAGCGCCAGCAGCTGCATGAATGAGGACTGTCTCATTCTTCCTAAGCCGCGCTGTCTGGATAAGAGCTAGTACTGCGAGGGAATATGCGAGCGGTAGAGTTGCAGCATCGTGGATAGTAATACCTTGTGGGATCTTGCCGACCAGCCATGATGGGAGCTTGACTTCGGTCGCTAGGGCGCTAGAATCAGGAGTAAGGAAGAAGACGTCATCTCCCTCGCGCAGATGTGAGATCCGAGAACCAGTCCTGATGATCTTACCGGCTCCTTCGTAGCTGGGTGGAGCCCAAGGGATCGATCCTAGGATCACCTCGAGATCGCGATGGCCTACACCTGCTGCCTCCACCCTTACCACAACCTCATCCTCGCCGATATTTGAGACATCAGTCCTCTGGAAGTATATGGTATCAGGACTTCCTGCGGCATCTATCGTCATCTCCAGACCACGGTCATTGTTGTCCCATAAGTTCTGCATTTTGCGGTAAGCGACTCCTTCCTCAACAGCGAATTGTTCTTTGACTTCCTTCAACTGACGCATTCGTGGAAGGTGGATTGCGCCGTCCTGCCAGGCGAAATCAAAGTCCTGGTCGCGCGACAGCTCGGAGTCGCGTAGTTTCGTGGCAAGTTTCATGATTCCCGCGGCACCTTGAGATGTGCAAGGCACATCTTCAAACAAGATCAAGTTCTTGAGGTCAACCTCCATACGCAAGGTGCGCACCATGCCTTGGATAATTTTGGCGTCAGGGGAAGCACCTTCAGGTGTGACCCACAACAATCCCGTGTTGTGTAGAAGCAGGGTCTGGAGGCTCTTGAACTTTTCTTGGTCCATGTCTTGCAGGGCGCTCTCGTGTGGAGAGTCAATGAATACATAATACGGGTCGTCTTCAGGATCGATTTCCGCATATGGTTTCATCTCAGTGGGATAGCCAAGTTCCTTTGAGATCAGATCCGCCACGGACTGGGCAAATTCCACTTCGTTTTCATCCAGGAAAGGTCCACAGATAGTGATCGGCCTGCTGTTGTCCTGCTTTCCGATTCTAGTGGAGCACAAGATGCTCACGAATGGCTTGTCAGTCCCATACCTACTCGGAAGAACCACGTCAACGCCAGAGAATCCACTGTCAAGGAGCAGTTGGTTCCATACGGTCGCTGGCATCATCGGCCCCTCTTCGTGGTCACGGTATTTGTCCTCGGCTTCCCACCAACCAGGAAGTAGTGAGAATGGAAGAACAGAGGCTGGATGACGCATTGCCTCTAATAAGATGAGCTTACCGCCCGGTTTCAACAAGCTCCGCACGTGAGTCATGGTCTTCACCATGTCTGCAGTCGCATGCAGGACATTTGCCGCAATGACTACGTCATAATCTTGCTGTTCGAAGCCTTGGTCGCTAGGGTCCTGCGTGATATCAAGTCTCTTATAAGTAATGCGCCGCGACCAATCACTCAGCTTTTTGCGAGCCATTTCGAAAAAACCAGTTGAAATATCCGTGAAAGTGTAGTCCAGCACAGCTAGCTCGTCTCTGCCACGCGACAAGCCTTCGAGTACAGGGAGGGTTGTGCCAGCTGTTCCACCTCCGATCTCCAGAATGCGTTGATTTGGCTCAAGGTCGGCCAGGTACTCGGTCAAGTAACCCAGCACCTTGCTGAGGTGGGCATTCGTTACGTCTGCCTCATAGTGGCGAGTGAGCCGCCCATCAGTCAGCATAATCTCCAGTGGTTCGATTTTGCCCCGCAGTATATCAACGATGTGTTCACCCATGATGCAGATGAGTTCACCTTGGGCGTCGCTGGTCCGCACCTCGTTCAGCAGAGCTGTAGGCTCGCCCCTGCTGTAATCCAGGTCATACTCAGCAACAGTCTTGTAGCCCCAACGAACGAATCGGGCCAGGTGAGGTGGCAGCTTCGAGTAGTCAAGGTCGGCCGTTTCTTTCAACGCCTTTTCAATGTAATAACACGCAGCCTCTTCACCCTTGCGGATGCGAATATCTTCTTCTACCCCCAACTCCCCAACTGCATCGCAAAGCTTCTTTCTTAGCTGGTCCTGTGGGACAAAATCATAGCGTGGTAGGACTTCCCAGGACCAGTTGTCGGGCACGGTGGCGGAGGGATCGATAACCTCTTCAGCTGACCCAATGTTTCGGAATGCACAGGACTCCCATTCAGCGATAGGCGTTAATTCATCATTAGGTCCTCTTGAGAAAGCGGCTACTCCGACATGCATGCGACCACCTCTAACATCATAGTCAAGTCGACGCATGACCACGTCGAAGCGGTGCGAAGGATCTGATGGGATCTTGTTGGAGACTCTGAAACGGCTGATGTAATTGGGCATTTGCGCCGGTCGCCTCCCATGCTCGTCATATTGGAGAGGTCCACCACCTTGGAGGAATCCATCGAGAGTTGGAGGATCAGTGCTGACAGGCGATCCTCGAGCGTACGGATCGCGTAGCGCTTCACCGAGGTCTCTCAACCGGTGTTCCAGGATCGTATAACCCTTGCCTTCGTAGAACTTCACGTTATTCCGGAACGAGGGTCCATACAATGTCGCGCGCAGACCCGCAGTCTGATATTCAGCATTGATATCGTGCTCCTTCAAGCCGGTGGTCTTGTTGACCAGTGGAAGGGAAGCTCGGAATGTGGGTGTATCCATGGACATGTCGGTCATCTCGGCCTCGATTTGGCCCCAGCTGTGCTTTGTCCAGCCACTTTCCTCTGCCCATGTCGTCATTTCGAATGACCAAACCTTAGTTGAGAAGGCTCCCTCACCAATGGCTGCTGGCCTCAGCTTTGTCGTCATGTCGACGGTTTCCTCCTCGTGTATCTCCAAACTCCGGACGACGTGGAAATCTGTCACGAGGAAAGCAGCGGCAGGGGTGGAGAGTGTCCTCCGGGCAGCCTCGATCGCGCAAGACATATAGCCTGTCATTGGAAAAATGGTGGCACCACCAACGACGTGGTCTCGAATCCACGGCATCTCATCCAGGGTAAACACCTGTCTGTATGTTCTCTCCCCGCTAGCATTGGGGCTAATTTTGCGGCCGAGAAGAGGGTGGTAATTTTCACCGGGGAAGTATTTGTCGTTTGTGGATCTTGGCCTTAATTCGTAGTCAGTTTTATCCCATGCATATGCCGGAAGCTCGGTCAGGACTTCAGCATTATGTTTGTCAGTCTGATTGACTGCTGCGAGTTCGACCCGTGCTCCCAGAGTGAAAAGAGAGCTAGCTAGCTCTAGCACAGCTTGAGTGGCGTCAGTACCACGGAACAAAGTGGGCAGGTATGTAAATGAGGCGGGCGTCCAATTTTGTTGGACCTGTACAAGTTCTGCTGTCTGCTTGATTGGGTTTTTCAGAGCCGCATGTGGACCAACCTCTATGACAACTCTGGGCAATGCCTGAGCAGCCTTGCCTGTGCCAAGATGTTGAGGTGCCAGAAGACCATGGACTGCATCCATGAACATGACTGGTTGGACGAGATTCTTCACCCAATAGGAAGCCTCAATCCTATCCACCACTCGGCCAGTGACAGATGACACAAACGCTGGGTTAGTAGTGGACTTCTTGTCCAGGAAAGGGGCATCTTCCTGGAAATAGGGTTTGATATCTTCGAGGTAGGACGCGGCGACAGCTTCCATGTGCCGGGAATGATATGCCATTTGAACCTTGAGTTTGCGAGCGAACAAACCCTTGGCTTCCGCCGCTTTGTGGACGTTGTCAATTGCGGACTGGTCTCCCGAGATGGTGACGCTATTCGGGCTGTTGACGGCGGCAACTGTGGCATACGCCTCAGCATGCTCTTCTATCAGCTTTGAGGCCTCCTCAAAGCTCACACCAAGGGCAAGCATGGCCCCTTTCTCTTCTGGCTGCTGCTTTGCGGCTAGTTGAGCGGCTGCTTGACCACGGAAATACGATGCGGCTATGGCTTGTTGGAATGTAATCAAGCCAGCAGCATACGCTGCAGCGATCTCACCGCTAGAGTGACCAGTGACCGCGGCTGGAGTAACCCCCCATTCCTTCAGCAGTGCCACCAAAGCCAATTGTACTGCAGTACAGGCGGGCTGACTAATTTCCGCATCATCGACTCGTGACTCAGACGATGGTTTCCGAAGTTCTTCAATGAGAGACCAGGGCGCTCCCATGGTTTGGAGTTGCATTTCTGCCTCTTGCAATGTCTTGTTGAAGATCTCAAAGCTTTCTAATCCGGAAGCCATCTCAGCATGCCTTGAAGTCCGTGTTAGCAGACCAAATCTTCCAAATTTATCTCAGGGTCAGGCCTAAAACTTACTGAGCGCCTTGTCCAGTGAACACGAAAAGGACTCCCCGCTCCTTCGTTCTGCTGGGTTTCAAAGCCGATAGTTTTTCTTGCAGGGTCTCAATAGAGTCTGCGACAGCTGCAACTCGATATGGGTAATGGTTGCGACGCTGTCCCAGCGTGTAACTCAGATCTTTGGCAAATTCACTCGATTCTGGCGCTTCATCCAAGTATTCGTCGAAAGTACTCAGGTAAGACGTGAGGCTCTTCTGCGTCTTAGCTGAAAATACGTAGAGCCGCTGATTCTGAGTAGCAACGCCATTTCCGTTTTCATGGTGGCCGTTTGTGCCGTTGGCTCCATTTATTGCATGGCCATTTGTACCATTAGCTCCATTCAAAGCATGGCCATTTGTACCGTTGGTTCCATTCAAAGCATGGCCATTCGTGCCAGCGGCCCCATTCAGGGCGTGGTCATCTGACACAGCCTTGGGCGGTGGACCCTCCAAAAGTATTGCAGAGTTGCTACCACCGAAACCTAGACATCTCTGATTAGACTGTTATAGCGCATATTTTAGGGTTTCTAACATACCAAAGTTGGTCACAATGCAGCGCCGTGGCTCATTCTTTGGCCAAGGAAGTGGCATTTCTGCAATCTTGATCTTTTCGTGGCCTTCGATTTTTGGGTTGATTTTCTCAAATCCGGCGGTGGGTAGAACGATGCCTTTGTTGACCATCATGATTGCTTTGACCATGGCGAGTACGCCACTCGCTCCTTCTAAATGTCTGGAACTAGTGTGAGATATATATTCTTCAATTATCTGGGCTGAAGCCTACCCAAAATTTGACTTGAGAGATCCTAGGTAGATTGGGTTGTTCGCTGTGCGATTCCTGGCTAGCACAGCAGTGAATGCTCCGGCTTCAATTGGATCACCGACTGCTGTTCCTGTGCCGTGACCCTATATTGATACAAATTACTGATCAGCAGGTGCCTCAAAGTAAGGAATTCCTAATTTCCTTTAACTCAAGAACGTACCTCGACAACAGGTGTATCGGAAGGATCCACACCGGCAGCGTTATGTACTGACCAGAGCAATTTCTGTTGAGCCAATCCGTTAGGCATCGTGATCCCATCTGATCTGCCACTATGGTTGCACGCAGAACTAAGAATCAATGCCTGAACTGGATCGCCATCACGGATGGCATCGTCGTAACGCTTCAGCAACAGACATGCGGCGCCCTCCCCACGGCCAAAGCCCGATGCTTTGGTGTCATATGAGTAGCTTCTGCCGTGCTCCGAAAGCGCTCTATTCCAAAATCGTTAGCATGACCAGCCATATTTCTCCGAGCAGTGACTTTACCCTGTCTTCTCCAGCACCAACCAGCCCGCCGGACTCAAGTTTAGCGACGCTGAGCCAACAAAGGCTCCGTCGCATTCACCGTTACGCAAGGCTCTAACAGCCATGTCTGCTGCGTACACACTGCTAGCGCATGCAGCGTCTGCTACGACACTTGGACCGTCGATGTCGAAAAAATACGAGACACGATTCGCAGCCATACAGGGGGCCGCTCCCGTTCCTGAAAAGGTTTGAATGGCATGCTCGTCATCGCCTAGACGCTGAGCATATTCGTGCTGGCCCGAGCCAACGAATACACCTATCTTCTTGCCGGCGAGATCGGGAAAGGTCTTTCCTGCATCCTCTGCTGCTTCGAGTGCTACCTCGAGCATGAGACGATGCTGTGGGTCCGCATGCTTGGCTTCATCGGCCCTCATATTGAAGAAGGCCGCATCGAAGCCGAAGGGGCTGTCGATGAAATGTGCTCCCTTGGTGCCGACCACGCCTGACTTCTGACCACCAGCTTGGTAATATGCGGATTGGTCATAGCGATCAGCTGGAACACTAGTCCATGCGGACCTAGCTTGAGACAGGTACTCCCATAGGCTTTTACCCTTGACTCCAGGAGCACGGTAGGAAAGGCCGATAACGGCAATGCGCGGTTCCTGCGCCATTGTGACTGTAAAAAGAGGGAATACTTTGAGTGGATAGTCACGAGGAGTGTACAAAAGATGTTCAGTCACAAAGAACCAGATGAATGATATTGTCGAGAGATATAGTTGAAGGATATGGGTCAAAACTGACCTTCTGTTGCGTACCTTTATATACTTTGCACCATTTCAATTCTTCTATCGTATACACTCAGACCAACTCGTCCCGGAGTTGGAAGAGGCGCCCTGATTCCTTCCCCCATTCCTCTATGGGTAGATAGCTCACTCAGACTTGCCTGCTATTGTTTAGTGCCGGTCAGCTCGTTTTGATTCACTGAAGCCACAATGTAACCATCCGAACCATGTTCCCTACCACTCATTCCCCGCGTGTAGCTCATACCAACCCCAGGTTGAGGTGATAATGCAATGGGACTCCTACGTCTGAGTCATCCTGCGAGCTTGTACCACATCACGGCCAGTAGGATTTACACCCTGTTTTATTGAACAGCCTGCAGGTTCTGTAAGCAGAGATTATAGTACCCAGCCTAGAATGCCTGAATTTCTTTCATCCTGGTTGCTGACACGCCTTAGATCCGGTTACTCGCTTTCTTCTGCCTATCCTCGGGATCTTGATATACTCTTCATGGCGTTCATGGTGTCACTTTCCAATATTGGTTTGATAACAAAACTAGGTCTTACTGGTTCGAAATCAAGTTTCGGCGAATGCTATAGATTAGTAAATGCCTTGAGGGAGCATGTCGGCGAAAAGGATATCGATTTTCAGGCCGCCATCATCAAGCCACTATCAAAGTGAGAGACTCAGTCACAACCCCCAATTGGCAATTAGATACTGCTGAAACTTAATCATTCGGCACTTTACAATGCTCAGGTTCATCCTCCATACAATAAAAACGTTGGTGATATTGAAAATGAGCTAGAACAAGGCCGACATGTCAAAAGAGGTTTAACACCACGCAAATACTCTACTCTATCTCGCCTTGCCCTGTCATACTTATCGGCGTTGAGAAACTCTGAATTTGAGATGGGGATCCTTCTCCAAGGACACGATTCCACCCCATTGGACGTTCTGCAGCTTTGCATCCAATCCCCTCTCTGCATCTTGAAGGGTCTCTCCTTCCAATCTAGACGGTTCGATTCGGTGTCTCCTCAGCAGACATAGAATCAATGTCGTGATTTCTACTTGTGCCATTTTCTGCCCTGGACAGATTCGAGGCCCTTGTGACCATGGCACGAACGTGCCTTTGGGCGGGTGAAAATGCGTGTACTTTGATCCAGGCGGGTTAATCCATCTTGACGGTCGAAATAGCTTTTCGTCGGGAGCATCGGGACTGGGTTTGAATCGATCTGGATCTGATTGATGATTGATGTCCCTCCATGATGGTAAGTGATGGAGAGCTACCACATTGATATGAACTCTGGTCTTGGCTGGTAGTCGGACTGTGGTCCCCGATGATACTTGAATGGTTTGGGGGCCTGACGCTATCCTGAATAAGCGAGAGGCCGAGCCGTACAGTCTCTCCGTCTCCATTACGAAGGCCAACGTGCGCACAGCCTGGGGATAGATGGTTGTATACTCAAGGGGTTCTGATCCATCTCCATCAGCAGGTATAAGGCTATCGACTTCTTCGATTAGCCAATCCTGCCACAGTGGAAATCTTGCTAGAAGGACCACAGCAAAATCCAACGCCCCTGCAATAGTTTTGTATCCACCAGCGGTGAAAGCAAACAGATTGCTAATCATTTCATTTTCAGAGAGTGACTGTTGAGAGTCCTCTCCACTTTGAGATGCTTGAACCAAGAGAGCTATGAAGTCCGCGTTTGAAGACGTGCTGGTTTCGCCCCTAGCTATGCGATTCTGCTCTTGATCAATCAGGGATTTATTGCGCATACAGAATTCCGTCATGGACCGTCCTACTGTCCTCATTTTCTTATGCCCTGGCGCCCACGACGGCCAGTGATTGAGAAGGCGTGGTGGAAGTATGGCAACACCGAACGCATTGTTCACGTATGTGAGAAGCGCATCTTTGTACGCCATTTGATAAGGAGGCTCGGGTTCTTGTTTTTCCTCGTCGTACCATGGAAATTTGTCGCCAATACCGACGCCGATGAGGATGCTGAAACTAATCTGAGTGAGCTTGTCAAACAGCATCGTCGTTTCCACCGAGCTACTTTTGTCGGGTGAGGTGGTGAGCACGTCGTGCAAGATTCTCCGGCAATAGTATATGGAACTTTCAAAAACCGCTTTAGAGATGCGCTCATTGATGACTTTAGTGACGATCTTGCGGTGTCGAGCCCATTGGTCTCCATTGGCAGTCAAGACATTGGGACCGAACTTGGCCAGGAGGAATTCCAATTCGCGAGGCTGTTCAAAGTCGTGAATTCGGCGGAGTACTTCGTGGGCCACTTGCGGGTCGGCAGTCCAGAAGTCATATGTGCGCAGTCCCACCAGTATGAAGGATGTATCCGTCGCTTCTGTGCGAGAGGTGGGAGACGTTTCAAGGGGATTTGATGGCTCAAAGAGCTCCCAACCCGGGATCGTTATAGATAGGCGCTTCCAGAGCCACAGTGGGAGAAGGCTCTGTAATCGGAATCGGTTGCGAGAAGATAAAAGTACCCAGAGGAAATTGGTTTGGTCCATTGGAACAAACACCATAGGCAAGCCGATTGAGCGAGCATCTACGATCATCTTGAGCCATTTAAATGCTCTCCGGAGGATAAAAAGCAAAAGAATAGTGATGAAGATCCTGGCGAAGGACATGCTGGGCTTGGGGTAGAATGTACAGCTTGTTGTGGGATTTGTGGTTGAAAGAAAAGGTGTTCAGAAAGATATCGTTCCAGATTCTTGTATGTTGTCAATTGAACAAGTGGATCTCAGGCAATATCCCGTCCAACTCAGTTCATCAAAACAAGATACAGAAAGCAAAGCACAAGAGCAAAGAGTTTTTCCAGTTCGTAAGATCAGTCAGGGGAGTCCGTTTGACCCTGATGTTCACATGTAGGCCTCGGTGTCAAGGCCGTAACTCCGCCTTTGGCCGAATACACGAGCACAAAACCATTGACTTGCACATGTTCGATTTGAAGATGCACAATCTGTGAAGGATCCCCAATACTTTGTTCCATCAATAAGGGTCCCACATGGTCAGCCTTGTGGCTTGCAGGAACTCCCTCATGAGTTCGGCATTGTGCTACTCAGTATGTAAGAGGCCAGAAATTGTTAGGAATGTGTTGAACTGCGCCATGCATGTCTGACATGCACCAGTGAATGATAAAAAGAAGGGTTTAAGGGGGTGTCATGCATGTACCCATCTCCCTAAACGTTCAGCCCTCCCTCCCCCCACCACATCACCCGGCTTGGCAAACATTTACTGTCATCTCACCCCATGGAAGGTCTTCCTTCAACGTCAGCGCAGCCTCCGAATCTGACTCTCTGCCCCACTATGCAGCCTCGCGAACCCTTGAATGGCGTCGGGATATGCTGGAGCGCTTATTCCTGCATCAACCATTACCGCAGTAAGCGAATGCAATGAGCAGGGTACCTTGGTTATGCGCATCGCTTATTCTTTTCCCAAAAATCCTCAGATGACGCGATATAATCAGCCCAGGAATCAGCCCAGTGGGGGTAAGGGCAAAAGTTGGGGTTGATTGTCATGACAGACCGGTACGCTTTGGACATGGAGCAAGATATTCTTACCACCTTGGTTCCCATTTTCATTCCCTCAACTTTCTACTTTTTTTTTCTTCCTTCGTTGATCAAATCTATTCCCGCAAAAACCGGAGTCCTGTAACGCATCACTATGCCTTTTACCCTTACACTCAAACCGAAGAAAGCCAAAGGTGGACAGGTTTACTATCCACTTCAACTCAACGTCGTCTCGAAGCCGGCACCTGGTCCCAATGAGGTTCTGATTCAGCTTGAAGCTGCAGCCTTGAACCACCGAGACTTTTTCCTCCGCCAGAATCTCTATCCTGGTCTCTCCTTCAAGTCACCTATGCTTTCAGATGGGTGCGGGACTGTTGTCGAACTTGGACCAGGTTGTACCACGGCATCAAACCAACTTCTCGGCAAAAAAGTCATTTTGACTCCTTTCCGCGGATGGGATTCCGATCCAGAGGGTCCGGAAGACTATTCGAACTTTAGCACGATTGGTGGTGTTGAGCCTCACTTTGACTTGGGCATGGCGCAGAATTACATTTCCGTGCACGAGTCTGAGGTGGAGCTCTTGCCTGAGCACTTGAACCACATCGAGGGTGCTGCTTTGCCATGTTGTGGTATCACGGCCTGGCGTGCCTTGGTCACCAAGTCCGGCAATGCCAAACCTGGCCGCAACATCCTGGTGACCGGTATCGGGGGTGGCGTAGCTATACAAACGCTGCTGTTCGGTGTTGCCATGGGATGCAACATGTATGTCAGCTCCAGCTCTGACGAGAAGCTTGCCAAAGCGCGTGAGCTTGGTGCTGTTGGGACTGTCAATTACAAGACCGACTCTGACAGCTGGGACAAGACGCTGGGGTCCCTACTGCCAGCAGAGCGACCCTACTTAGATGCCGTCATTGATGGAGCAGGTGGGAATATTGTGACCAAGGCTCTGACTGTTCTCAAGCCCGGGGGTGTGATTGTATGTTACGGCATGACGGTTGGGCCAGTGATGGATTGGCCGATGCAGGCAGCGCTGAAAAATGTCGATTTGCGGGGAACGATGGTCGGCTCGAGAGCAGAGTTCAGGGAGATGGTGGAATTCATCAGTACCCACAAGATCAAGCCAGTTATTAGCAGGACCGTCAGGGGCCTTGATTGTGTGGATGCGATTGATGGACTTTTCGAAGACATTCGCACGGGAAAACAGTTTGGAAAACTGGTTATCGAAATCTAGTCAGATTCTTGGGATAAGTGGAGGGCGGGTCTTGGTAGTGGCTGAGCAGGAAATTCTTGGGATAACTGGAGGGCGAGTCTTGGTAGTGGCTGAGGCAGGAAATTCTTGGGATAAGTGGAGGGCGAGTCTTGGTAGTGGCTGAGGCAGGAGGTGTTGTTCGCACTTTTGAATACGCAAGCGTGCCTGGATATTTAGGTACCGGTAGGTAGATGACGCCAAGATGACAAACATGCAGAAAGCTCGTCATTGATAGGAACCAAATGATTGAAAACGAGTGCTATCGCAAATGCTCCCCAGGTAGCCAATCCACTCTAGAGTATTTCAACGGGTGTAGGATAACAAGACTGCAGAATAGCAACATTACGTGATGCATGTCCTTTACGGTATCCCTTCTATTCGTAAGTACATTGACAGGCGATCAAAGGCTGATTATGGAAACCGACATGGCCTTGGGAACAAATATGCAAGTATGTAATAAAAGGGTGATTAACTAATTAGAAAACGCGCAATAGCAGAGGCTGAGAGTGCTGTTATTGATGATGCCCAGTAAATGCAATCAATAATGAATGCGTACGCGTACACGGCAGTAAGTCAGGAAGGACTGGGCGCAGCAGTAAGATTAGTACCTTATCTCGCTCCGTGCCGTTCTGTGTTGAGCCTGTTCACTTAGCCAGGCCCTGTACTCCATCCCAGGTGCAGCTGCTTGTGAAACGGCGAGTTGGCTCACATCAGCCATTTGGGTGAATAAGGGACACCATGACCTCACGTGATCTCTGGTCTCATTAGGACTAGTGTCTTGGCATCTATGGGAGTACTCCAAACAACGAACAGCTCGTCCTTGGAAGCCCTGATCAGCTACAAAGAAATAAACCACGATTCCGACTGATAGTCTTGCCGCGTGCGCCCACCCTTGTGTGCACGCCAGCGGCAGCCAGTTAGAAGCTCAAGTCCTGCAGATGCTCTGTTGCGTTGCGTCACACGGCAGAATCGCTCGTCTTATGTACAGCTAACTACTCTGTAGACGCGCCCGCCGCGTCGCCCTTCTATCCTCCTTGGCGCTCGTTCGCACCCGATTGGGAGGGCCAAGGTGCTAGGCCAATGGATCATTTCAAGGTTGGCAACTGTACGCAGTTGCCTGGCTCTTGGCGTGTGTATTCTCCTATTTTAGACTAGTGCGCTTCCAACTAGAAACACATCGCATCGATGAACATTCAACTTTCGGTAAACTTTTTGGACATGCACCTTCTCCTTCTCAGTCTTGCGTTTCCTTTCAAAAAAAAAGCGACAGAGCGGAGCCTTTGCTGTTGGCACGCTGTTCCGCAGCTTCGTGGTCTTGTATCCATCCACCAACTGTCCTTTACTTCGTCGCATACCAGCTTGAATATCCTTTTGCAGCAAGATTTTCAGCCACCAAAATCTCTCCTATCCAAGACAAGATGGTGGCGACCAGCGATGTGCCTAGTACGTTCTATCGATTCCTCGAGACATGGCGATGACGAGATTCACTGACGTTGATCTAGTTGTGGGTAGCCTTTATGTTTATGCACCAAACAAAGGTGCACCCATTTTCTTCACGATTGCCTTTGCTATATCCACTATTCTCCACTCCTGGCAGTGCCAGTAAGTCGGCTTTGTGGCCTTTTTGAGTTGCCAATTCTGGATTCTCTGACACTGTGCCACTAGCCGCTACAAAGCTTGGAAGTTGATATGGTTGCAGCCCGCCTGTGCAGCGCTCTTTACTCTCGGATACGCCCTCCGTGAATATGGAGCATACAACTACCTATACGATGGTACGGAAAAGGCACCTTTGGCGCTGTTCATCCTGAGCCAAATTTGCATCTACTTGGGCCCGTAAGTGTCGCATTTGACAACCGTTGGCTGACGCTGACTTCCTCACGAACGTCAGGCCGCTCCTCGAACTCGCAAACTATCATATCCTCGGACGGGTATTTCACTACGTTCCGTATGCTGCGCCCTTCAACCCTGGTCGGGTCACGGCTTTTTTTGGTGGGCTCATGGCCATTGTGGAGGGCTTGAGCGGCTCTGGCGTTTCATTGACTGCCAATGCAAAGGCAAAAGAGTCGACTAAGAAAACGGGACACAATCTCCTCCTTGTTGCCCTTGCGCTTCAGGTCTGCGTCATCTTCATCTTTGTCTACCTCTCTGTCCTCTTCCATCGGCGATGCATCAAGGCCAAAGTGCCGGCACAAAGCAAAGCGGTCAAGTCCACGCTCATGACACTCTATCTGAGTATGGCGTTGATCTTCATACGCTGCGTTTTCCGGCTCGTGGAGATGGCAACCAGCTCGACAAGCGTGGATATCACGAGCATGGAGCGCCTGATGAAGCTGAGCCCCGTCCTCCGAAACGAGGCCTACTTTTACGCCTTTGAAGCCAGCTTGATGCTCATCAATTCTTTTCTCTGGAACGTGCAACATCCTGGACCCCATCTGCCGGGCGACACTCACATCTACCTCGCACAAGACGGAACGGAAGTGGAGGGAGAAGGGGACGGAAGTGAGGACCGGCCGTTGCTGCTCAACATGGCCAATACTCTCATGTTCGGCTTGCTCTATCGAGACGACAAGGATCACACGCACTCTCAACCCCAGGAGCTTTATGAAAACCCAAATGGAAATGGCCATAAGAAGTTTAGACTCGGGAACGGCGGGCGGGCTACCTAGTTGATGAAGGTCAAGTTGGCGCAGACAAGAGGTGTTCAAAGCCTTTTGTTATGGCTTTGCCTGGCCGACTTTCCCCCTCCCCCCTCCCCCGCCGCTTTTATTTTCTCTTCGCCTTGCTTCCGTCAGGAGGGAGATTTCAATTTACCAATAGTCAACTCATTCTCTGGTACTCTGTATAGCCACATGTAATAGTTTGAGAGATCAAATGTATAAAAGTAGCCAAAACATCAAGATTGAATCCCCGCTAACTCTGTCTTGGCTGTGCCCGCTTTTCACGTCTATGCTCGTGGCCCGCTACGGTGCCGTAACCCAAACGCAACCTCGTGGTGGCATGTCATATGACCATGGGTTTAGCGTCAGGCGACTTGGGCTTTACTCCAAGTGGTTAGAATATCCCTATAGGTTCAAGTCCACGTCACAGCAGCAAATTTTTATAGTTATATAAACTAGCCTATAGTTAAGTATAAATTAGGGTAATTTAAGCAAGTAAACGCAGTTTTTGTTACTATCTTTTTTAAACATGTTCTAAACCTATTCTTAATAATATATAGGCGTTCCTAAATACTATACTAGAGTTTAGTATAGCAGTACTAGATAATATATCTAAACTAGATAGTAATATTAGAGATGAATTTAGGTAACTATATAAAGTGCTAGAGGAGGATAGTAGCAGTAGTGTTAAGGAAGTAAGTAAAAGTAAATAGAACAAGTTTAGAATAGGTTAGTAACACGTTACAGGGGCATAATATATACCTTACTTATAGTAATAGTTAAGGACCACTACTTACACTAGTAATTATTAAGCATACAGCTATTCTCCTAGTATACCCTTAATTATATAGCTAAGGGTATAGGTATATAATACTAGTTTAGCAATATAAAGATAGCTCTTACCTAATAAGAGAAGAGGTGCTTATGCAGGCTATATAGGTAACACGTTAAGAACACGTTCTTAAATTGTTCTAATTCTAGTAGGTACAATACTCCTGCTAGTCTATCTATCTTAATAGGCCTATAACTTTACTATTCTTTAACAGCTAGCTAGCAAGCTAGTATAAATACTAATACTCTAGGGTAAAAGCGTGTAAGTATCTTAAGAATATGTTATAAACGTGTTCTTATTACATTATTAATAACGTATTGTATAATTAGATCTAAACCTTAAAAAGTGTAGTACCTAAGAAAATTCTATAAAGAGAACTATAAATAAGAAGCTATTATTATAGCCTTATTAAGCGCTTCTCTTTAAGGATTTATAAGTGACTACTAGGTGTCTTATTATCCTATAATAAGGACTATAGTAAATTAGGTAGGGAGCGAAACTTAAACATGTTTAAAACGTATTAATAATAAGTTAGTAAATTATAGAATAGGCTTAACTATATATTAGCTATTAGAACTATAGCCTAATATCTGCTACTAGGAAAAAATATTATTTTAGTTAGGTACTACTAGAGGTAGACTCTATATATCTATAAGGTCTTCTAACTAGGGAGATATTAAATCTTTCTAGTAGTCCTGCTTTATATTCTGTAGTTAAGCCACAGTTAAGCTAGATAAAGAAGTGTGGTAGGCATATTGCAACCTATTCCTAACACGTTCCTAACATGTTCTAGGCGTTAATTATCCACAAGGGCAAGGATCTCTATTTAAAATCCTGTGTAAAGTTACCTTCTAAGTAATTATACTAATAGATATAGTAGTAATACCTTTTTTTGCTATTATTTCTTTTAGTATATATATATATATACCTCCTCCTCCCTTAACACTATCTAATAGTAATATTAAGGAAGTAGTAAAGGTGTTATAGCCTATGCTTACTCTATAGCTTATATAATATAAGTTGTTTGCAACCTATTATAAACGTGTTCCTAACTTATTATAGCCTAGTTCCTAAACTTAACCTAGCTCTAAACCTATCTCTAACTTAAAGGTTTCTATTCTATTAAAGAAATATATATTAGCTTTGCAAATAAAGATAAAATCTTGCGTATTATAAAGCGTGAAAAGCTTCTATAGTTCCTATTTAAGAGTAGCCTTAGAGGAGTATACTATAAGTAGAGGATAAAGCATTAGGATCCTAAAACTATACGTAGTGTAAGAGAATAGGTTTAGAATATATTACTAATATATTACTATAGGCGTATATACAGCAAATCTTTATATTAAGCTTAGGTAACTTAATTATTTACCTTTTTAAAGAGCAGGCATTAATTCTATTAGATTAAGATATATTCTAGATAGATATATTATATAAGAGGTTATATAGGGCATAGGTAGAGATTCTAATAGTAATCTTCTACCTATAGGAAAAGAAGCGTACGCATTAAGAATAGGTTTGTAATATATTTCTAATATATTATAGTTATTACACTTAGCTAAATTATTATAGACAAGGATATAACTAAGATATATTAAGTTACTATTACTAACTTCTTTTAGAAGTATAAAGCACTTACAAAAAGATAAGTGTTATAGAGGTATATTTACTTATAGGGATTCTATAGGACTACTATTAATATATATAACAAGTAGATAATAGGCAAGTTTTACAGCGCACCGCAATATGTTTGTAACATGTTTCTAACTTGTTTCTAGGACTTAGGCGCTATCTCTAGTTAATTAATCCCTATAAGCGTAACTAGCGCTAGTAACTTTAATCTTATATAAGATTTTGTTAAGTATATCTATAAAGAAGTATTTACAAAGCATGTAAAAGAGAGCTAGATAATACTACCTCTTTACGTCTAAGTGAATTACTACAGGCATTAATAGCAGAGGAATACTTTTAGCTTGCTAACCTCCTCTTATATAAGTAAACATATTCTAAACCTATTCTAAACATGTTCCTAACTCGTTCTTATATAATTAGAACACGAACCCTCTAAAGATACCTAAAACTAGGTAATCTATAAGAAAAACCTAGTAATTACTGCTAGGATTGTGTAATACTGTAGTAAAATATTAAAAGAGGTATAGGAAAAACTAGAATCTTATTTAAATATAGCTAAGCAAGTAGGCTAGAAAGGATATAAAACTAGTAAGCATGTAAGTATTCTTAAGGCTACTTAGAAGTAAGTTTATAACCTATTCTTAACCTATTAGAATTATATAAGTAATATTATGTAGTGCACACTAGATAGATCTATAGGATATAAAAGAGTTTAAAGCCTAGAGCAAGTTTAGAATACGCTATAACTATAGAACTCCTAATAGGCTTAAGCAAAGGTACCTTAAAAAGCTTTAGAGGGGAGAAAGTAAGTCTTACGCTAGCGTTATATATATTTACTAATTAAAACGTGTTTAGAACATGTTTAGAACGCGTCCTATAATAATAATAACACTCTAGATAATAATAAAGCAAGTCTTGCTATATCTAACTTAACTAGATATATCTTAGTCCTAATAAGAAATAAAAGAGTACGCTTAAAAGCCTAAAGCTAGAGGGCAAGTAGTAGAGTGGTATTAGAAAGAAGTTTACTAGCCCCTTTTCTATCTTCTCTACTACTAGGCTCTTCTCCTCTACTAATAGTAACCTAAAGGTATGCTTCGCAAAACACGTTTATAATATATTCCTAACTTATTATTAGTCTATAACTATAAACTTTATAATAAAAGGCTCTTCTTAGTAATTAGGCTCTAAAGGAGAGAAAAGAAAAGCTAAAGGTAGATAAGGAAGAACTTATATAGAAAAAGGCACTGTTTAAATTATAAAAGGCATAGTTTAAACTTAAGAAAGAGATAGCTACTTTTTATATAAGGTAGGGTTAGTCTACAAATATAGTAACTAGTTCCTAACTAGTTCTTAATATATTCTAGTCTATCACGTAAGTATATATAAGCGGATAAATATATATTCTTTCTTCTTCTCTTTCTTCTTCTTTCTTCTTACACTCTATAAGAACTTTTTATATTTAAGAGTTTAATACTATTTTACTATCTATCTTTCCTAATATTATTAGATATAACTAGTTAATATAGTCTATAAAGATCTTTTAAAGTTAGTATATAATAGAACGCGTTAGGAATATATTATAAACTTGTTCTAATACTAAGTAGGATTTATACTAGCGATATATTAAGCTTAAGTTACTTCTATCTAATACTAGGGTATTCTCTCCTATAATATCCTACCTAAATAATAGGTGTATAGTATTTCCTAGCGAGCTTTTCTGCTAGGCTATTTAGGCTAGATTAGGGGTATAGGAACTTTATAGAGTATATATACATACAAGTTAGAACACGTTTACAATATATTAATAACTATTTTAGCGTTGCTTCTCTAATAGAGGCAATCTTATCTACTACCTTAAGAGGTATTATCCTAAGGTTCAAATAGCCCTAGTAAACTATAGCAGAACCACAATACAAGGTATTGCAGAAGCAAGGATCTTCTATAGGAGCTTAATAGTGAATACTTATTAACGTGTTCTAAACACGTTAATAATACGTTCTCTGCTAGTAAAGCAGACTGCACTAAGTGCCTCCTCTAAGGTTCAAGAACCCTCTAAGATAGCTAGTCCACAACAAGAAGTAGTAGCTAGAGTAGAGGCTAAAGAGGAAGCAGAGAGTAAAGAAGAGGAGCAAATAGTTGCTCCCCTTTACACTGTAAATAATATTTAGCAAAAGTAGCAAAAAGGAGATATAAGTCTAGTCTCTTAAAACACGTTTAGAATATATTAATAATACGTTATAGCTAGACACCTATAAATACTAGATTCTTCTTTAATCTAAGGGACTACTAGAGCTTTATAATACCTATAAAAGTTAAAAGAAAAAGTTATATACTATTAAAGGACCCTATAAAAGTAAATAGTACTTTACTTTTAGTAGATAGAAAAAAAAGAGAAAAGTAGAGAGTTTATTTTAGTAATTACTACTACCCCTTTAGGTTATATACTATTATACATTATTTATTAGAACCTATTCTTAATATATTCTTAATATGTTCCTACTTATTGCTATTATTATCTCCCTCCCCCTCTCTAGTATCTTCTCTA